CCCCCCCCCCCCCCCCCCACCCCAATGCCTGACCAAGCCCTCAAAGGGCATGGACGACAGTCAGATCGTCACACCCCCTTCTCCATTGCTTCTTAGAGTTTGAGGTGGCAAGAGCTCTCAGAAGATTCCAGGAGCCGAGCCCACCCGCAGCAGCTAATGAACTGCAAGCAGAAGCCCGGCTTGTTCCGACCGTGTTGTCTGGAGGCACAGCATCGTATCCTACGGCATCCGCATGAGGCCTGGATCTTTCACGGGCGTCGCTTCGGATTTGATGAACTACATCTTGAACTACTCTATACTATATACCTAGTTTCACCCGACTTGGTGAATCATGCCTGGTTGTGAACACCTGATTGTTCAACCGCATGGGGGATGAGCACATAGCCAAGTGGTTTCGGCTCGTGGCGGAGCGATTATACCTGGTCGAGCGTGCACTGATAAAGCTCATGTTCGGTCGCTGCATTATTCTACGTTGGGTTTCAGATTGCTAGGGCACCGCAATCCGTTGCAGACATAGCTGCCGAAGTTTGGACCGGAAAGCTTGGTTCACAGGCATTACTAAGAGAGGACAAGAGCCTCCTAACTGGGTTTGGCAGAGTTGAACCGACTTTGGTTTCAATGAAGTGTCTCAATTACGGGAGTTCGTGCCCGGGGTAGAAGTAATCGTTGCAACGTCCCTGCTTTGCACCCCGCAAAAACCTATCCCACTGTGAAGTTTGTCAAGCAGGTTGTGCAAGCACACCCTAGCATGTCTGTGCAGAGCCAAGCGGACGAATCGACATCTCGTCTTGCCTGCCCTCATGTTTGTCGGCGAGAAGTAAGAGCTCGAGCAACCAAGAGCAGCATGTATGACTCACTGCATACAGCACGACCTCAACTCAACTTTCTCCAGACACGATGAAGCATTTTGCGCAGCGGTTCGATCGAAGTTCAAATTCCATGTTCACAGCACCGCGCCTGAAGTCTTGAAGAACCCATGGAGCGGCACGGCGAACTTTTGCTGGGAGGAGCTCCCATCAAGCACTTGGCTGGCGTTTCGACTTCAGGGGTTCTTGGAGCAACCCTGTGGGGTTCAAGCAGGTTCAACAGGCCGCCGGGAACCATTTTTTGCACTCCAGCATCCTGCTTGGCCCAAATTTCTGCAGGGTGTCTTGCTCGACGGTGTGCCCAGAGGTGGAATGAGTGTGATGGGCTCCGGCCCATCAGTTCTTGTGTGCTCATGGTTGGGACTACGAGCCATCTTCACGCACGCATGAAGCCCATCTCCCGGCTGAATTCGTCCCTTTGAAAGCTTGCACTTTGCACAGGGCGCACACAGGCGCACACTGTCTCCCTGTTAGTCTCTCTCTCTCTCTCTCTCTCCCTCCGTCTCTCTACCCGGTCCAGAAAAATAGCAGAACGGTAACAGTACCATGCTGCCCTCCCCTACACCAGCATCTGCTGCGGGTTCAGCAGAAGCGTTGCTGCCGGCAGGGGGAAGCGATGTTTGGACCCACCGGCGGTCAGCATCATGAGCATCAGCTGAAGACTGTGTTTCAACTGGTCCACGGGTGTCCAGCATCAGGAGCATCAGCTCGGGCGGCAGCATCAAGAAATGCTTCATCCAGTCCAGGGGCGACCAGCATCATGAGCATCAGCTGGGCGCTGCGTTTCAGCCCATAGGCGACCGGCATCATGGACATCAGCGGACAGCTGTGCTTCAACCAGCCGACAGGCGTCCTGCACCATGAGCATCAGCTGAGCGCTGCATTTCAACCAGCCCACCGCCGGCCAGCATCATGAGCATCAGCTGAAAACGGCGGCCAGCATCATGAGCATCAGTTGAGGGCTGTGTTTGAACTGGTCCACGGGCGGCCAGCATCATGAGCATCAGCTGAACGCTGCGTTTCAACCAGCCCACCGGCGGCCAGCATCATGAGCATCAGCTGAACGCTGCATTTCAACCAGCCCACCGACGGTCAGCATCATGAGCATCAACTGAGGGCTGTGTTTGAACTGGCCCACGGGCGGCCAGCATCATGAGCATCAGCTGGACGCTGCATTTCAACCAGCCCACCGGCGGCCAGCATCATGAGCATCAGCTGAACGCTGCGTTTCAACCAGCCCATCGGCGGCAGGCGTAAGCATCAGCTGAGGGCTGTGTTTGAACTGGCCCACGGGCGGCCAGCATCATGAGCATCAGCTGAACGCTGCATTTCAACCAGCCCACCGGCGGCCAGCATCATGAGCATCAGCTGAACGCTGCGTTTCAACCAGCCCATCAGTGGCAGGCATAAGCATCAGCTGAGGGCTCTGTTTGAACTGGCCCACGGGCGGCCAGCATCATGAGCATCAGCTGAGCGCTGCATTTCGACCAGCCCACCGGCGGCCAGCATCATAAGCATCAGCTGAGGGCTGTGTTTGAACTGGTCCACGGGCGGCCAGCATCATGAGCGTCAGCTAAACGCTGCATTTCAACCAGCCCACCGCCGGCCAGCATCATGAGCATCAGTTGAGGGCTGTGTTTGAACTGGTCCACGGGCGACCAGCATCATGAGCATCAGCTGAAAGCTGCATTTCAACCAGCACACCGGCGGCCAGCATCATGAGCATCAGCTGAACGCTGCGTTTCAACCAGCCCATCGGCGGCAGGCATAAGCATCAGCTGAGGGCTCTGTTTGAACTGGCCCACGGGCGGCCAGCATCATGAGCATCAGCTGAGCGCTGCATTTCGACCAGCCCGGCTGCTGCATCAATATGAGCAGCGGCAAGTAACGGTGTCACCTGTGATGTTTTTGTTAGTGGTCATGCCCGCAACCATGAATGCAGGTGCAAAATGCAATCGCGTCAGCACTACTGTCAGAGCGAGGGCGCCAGCCTGGCGGCGCCAGCACCACGACGATTCGTGCCAGTGACTGTCATCGTCCCACTTGTCTGTGAGGAGGTGGTGGTGCTGGTGGCGGTTGTGGTGGTGGGCGCGGCGGTGGTAGCAGTAGCAGAAGAAGAAGTAGCAGTGGCACGTGGCAGTGGTCGTCGTAGCCCTCATCCAGGCCTTGAGAAGGTGGCATCCTCGCAGAGTTGCACTTTTCTCTGGCCAGCTTGATGGTTGTGTCCAGTACACTCTGCGGCATCGGTTGCAAACCCTGCCAGCCGACCGAGTTCACGGACCTCATAGGAGCATGCGGGAGCTCCGATAACCACTTTCCCTAACAGCCCCATATACGGCATACATGAACCGCAGAATAGAGTAACCCCCATCGTAATCGTAGTGACCCCTTGACCCTGAGTGCCTTCCGAGGCTGAGCCAGGGCCCCGAGAGTTTGCAGATCGGCTGCGAGGCTTCGGGTTTTTTGCTCGGTTTAGGGTTTAGGGATCCTAGGGTTTAGTAAGGGTTTTCTCGGTTTAGGGATTAGGGTTTAGGGTTTTCTCGGTTTAGGGATTCTAGGGTTTAGTAAGGGTTTTCTCGGTTTAGGGATTAGGGTTTCGGGTTTTCTGGGTTTAGGGATTAGGGTTTAGAGTTTTCCCGATTTAGGGATTAGGGTTTAGGGTTTTCTCGGTTTAGGGATTAGGGTTTAGGGTTTTCTCGATTTAGGGATTAGGGTTTAGGGTTTTCTCGGTTTAGGGATTAGGGTCTAGGGTTTTCTCGGTTTAGGGATTAGGATTTGGGGGTTTCTCGGTTTAGGGATTAGGGTTTACGGTTTAGGGTTTAGGGCCAGGAGAGCGATGTGCTACGGGGAACCTTGCCTGGCGAGCTCTAATCAAGCCTGTGTAAAAAAAAAAAAAGGGTCTAGGCCCCTAAGCCCTAAACCCCGTTGAGCAATAGGCGACTTGTTGCACACTTTTCTTTTCCGGTCTTTGAGGGAGCCTGTCCTCGGATCAAGCCTGCTATCTGAGGGCTGCTGTGGCTAGTGTAATTATGGCTATGAGAGTTTTTGATGGCGACCTTGGCTACTATTGCCATACTGATGGTGCCTTATACTGCGTCCGAGACACGAAGCGGGCTTCAGCTAAAAGGATCAGGCATGCTCTACTTAAGTCCGAATCAAACACTTCATGAAAGGCCCACTGGGATCTACGTGCACTTTCCTTTCCAACTCTTCTCTTTGTGCGATTCCAAAATTTGTTTCAAGAGGTTGGGATCCCCACAGCCCCAGATGCCGCAGTTGTGTGTGGGTTGCTTCGACCCCATATACCTCACTGTCGCTTCTTGTCGATTTCCCAACGATTTGGGGTTTAGGATTGTGTCTATCTCGACAAGACATGATTTTCTGATGCCTGCTCCTCCGGTTCGAGTGTCTTGTGTTTCCTTGTCCCGACCATGGAAAAATCGATTCCTGCTTTTGGCCCGTGTTTGGGCCGCACAACCCAATGACTGGGCCGTGGCAAACAATCGGTCTCATCTACAGTGCAACTGAGGTATGTGGAAGCGGTGGTAGTAGAGTCTTAGTATAATATTCGTGATATCCTGATGATTATTATGATTATTTGTTATGGCTGATGCAAAACGCAGGACACCACTGGATTCCAACCTTGGGCGGCAGCCTCGCGCGCTGCCGCAGAAGTGTTGCCATCGCCGGGGCCCAGGCCAGGTAATCGCTTCTGTGTCTGTTGAATATATACATATATATATATATGATAATATNNATTATGATTATTATTATGGTTATTGTATTACTTATTATTGTTATTATTCTGCTTCTTCTTATTACTACGAGCGGCCTTGGGGTTGATGCTAGCGACGGTGATAATTTCTGATTGTTGGCCTTGTGGGCAAGAAAGCTACCGGACATTCTGCCGCTTCTACGAGGTGCCGGTGGGCTGCGATTTTCCGTTTATGATAGTTTATGGCGTGCGAGTGTAAATATGTATGTGTTTGTACACTTATATATATATATGTGTGT